AGAGCAATTCTGCCTCCAGCTTCCTGTAGTCAGCCCCTGGTCAGTTTGAGCAGCAGCGGCTTAATCTGGAGCCAGTTCCGACTTACATACAAATTCACCTTAAGAACAAACCTATAGTCCCTATCTTGTACGTAACCCGGGGACTGCCTGTATATTAAGTCTTATGTATGTAAGGGTATGTCTACACTGCCACCTTAATTCGAACTAGGGTGGCTAATGTAGGCATTCGAAGTTGCAAATGAAGCCCAGGATTTAAATATCCCAGGCATCATTTCCATCTTGCCGAGCCCCGCCATTTTTAAATCCCCCTTAGTGCAGACTCCATGCCCGCGGCTACACGCGGCACGGAGTAGGTAGTTCAAATTAGGCTCTCTAATTCGAACTACCGGTACACCTTGTACCACAAGGAGTAATGGTAGTTCGAATTAGAGAGCCTAATATGAACTACCTACTCCGTGCCGCGTGTAGCCGCGGGCACGGAGTCTGCACTAAGGGGGATTTAAAAATGGCGGCGCCCGGCAAGATGCAAATGCAGCCCAGGATATTTAAATCCCGGGATTCATTTGCAACTTCAAATGCCTACATTAGCCACCCTAGTTCAAACTAGGGTGGCAGTGTAGACATACTCCATTTGTGTTACAGAAGCATGGTTCTGTATTTCTCAGGTAAATTTAGCATCCTAATGTGCCCTTATGCTGGAATGTATTTCCAAAATGCTTCATGATGTTATTAATGATCTGTATTACAGATGCACCTAGATACAGAGTTGACACTGCCTCCCCCCATTGTTCTAGATCTAGGAATAATTGGGAGAAAGGGGTGCAGCAGTACCCAAGTGGTTTCTGTCACATACAGAGCTTGCAGATTATTTCAATGGCACTCAGCTTCCACCACTATAAACATTGTTCCAGCACACCTAATTCTACATGCGGTATATGTGCAGTGAGAGTCAGTCCATACAAGCTTAAACATCTAAAGCAACAAGATAAATAAGCAGTGAGAGAAAGAAAGTAATATTAATTCCATTTCACAGATGGCAAAGTAGGGCACTGAATTTAAGTGAGTCACGCAGGGTCTCACAGAAAATGAACTCACCTTTTCTTGGTTCCAAGCTTCTGCCTCAACTTTTTTTCCTTTCCCGTATTTTATGAAGGGAGGCTTCCCCTTTTGCATTAGAAAGACACCTCAGTTCAGTACTGAGTCTACAGCATAACTGAAGGTTTCTTCTATTAGTCAGCTTTTCATTAAATTATAGCCATAAATATCACTTTGAATGTCTGTGACTGGAGCTGTGATAAAGAACTCATATACAAATGTAGAGAAAGATATGGCTGGCAAACATAAAGCAACACTTGTTACAGATTGTGTAACTGGTAAGTCTTTTCTGAACAGTGTCAGCTTAAATGTGAGCCAAATGAGCACGCAAGGCAGTTACAAAAGACTCTGTATTTTCTTATCCGTCATCTCTTATTTTCAGTAGCTTGTCTCATCAGTGGGGACTCAACGAGTTGAATGGATACATTCAAAATGAATCTTTATACAGAGGCCAACCTCAGCTAACACAATTCTATAGATTGTGACTGGTTGCCCTCTGTTTAGAGATGGAGTATTAAAACTAGGGAATTCAACTTTAAAGAGGTATGGTTGTCCACCCCAGCTCATTGTCTGCTTCTTCTTAAGCTTTCAGCACTCACAGAACTTAACATGGGCTGTGAAATGGGAACTGCACTATTGAACCAGGCCAAAATTGAACCATTTTAGAGATGAAAGGTTCTGGAGCCTATTACCAATATTTTAGGCAGCCAATGTGCTCCGAATCAAAGTTTTTTCCTAATGTCCTTATGTGATTGTGTTCAGTAGTAAAAAGGATAAACTAGCTAATATGTTACAATGACTGAGCAGCATCAGATACATACCTTTATGGAAAGCAAGAAGCAGTGAACCATTATAAGCAGTACATGCACTGAATGCAACAAAAACTAATGAAGTGCAGAATTAAGCAGGCATCTCTGGTTTGTCTTAGGTTTGAAGTATGTTACTATGTGTAACCCTGGTATGATAAAAGCTGCCCTGGGTCTATAGACCCACCTTATCTAAAAATTTCTCTTCACAGTCAACAGAAACAATGCACAACATAAAATCTTGTCTAAATGAATTTAGTATTTATTTGTAGCTTTTAAATTGGTACTATTTACAATAAGTCTTGAAGTACAGCTCACATTCGGTAATTAAGCTCTGGCAGTACTGAAGTTAGACCACTAACGTTTGCAAATTACATTTCTAAGTCATAAAAAAGGAAAGGAAGTGACTAAAATAAATGTTTCTCTTCCATTACAAGTATCACAGGACATGTTTGCAGAGTGCTATAAAATCCAGTCAAGGAATGCTCCCCAAAAAGCATCCTGCTATGTGGTGAGTGGTGAGTGGTGAGATGAAGAATGTTTCAGAAACACAAGCAAAGAAATTCCATGTTTAGTATGGAAAATTTAGCAGTTCAGTTATTCACAATAGCCTTACACAAGCCCAATGCTAATTAATGGTCCCATTCTTCTTCTCTTTCATTGACACCCTCTTCTTCCTCTGGGAATGCTGAGTCATTCTGACTTTTCAGATGCTTAACCCCTGCAAATATAAAGATCGTATTTAAAGTCACATTCAATTGGACTAACTGCTGCCCTAAAGAAAGAAAAAAGCCACAAAACAATGGAAAGTTTTTATAAGTGACCTCATCGGTGCTGCCTTTCATAGCCTTTCAGTTCATGCATGTTACACCAACGGTATGTCTTTCCATTCCAGGATTCCTGACAGCACTCTTGGATCGGAATAACAATTTCCCACTCAATCAAGTTAAGCCTCTGAAAAGCTAACATAATGGCAGATGTCTGTGGGTTCTTGGCCAAGAAGAATTTACAACTTCTGTTCAGTTGTGAGCCCTGAAATGTGTCTCTTGGAGAATAGATGCAGTGCAGACTCCTGGCCCAAATCCTTGACTGCTTGGACTCACCTGTTCTTGACCCCTCACCTAAGCAATTTCACATTATGTGTAAATCAACTGGATGATTTTTACAGGTTACTCATCCCTTGCAGCATCCATAAAAGTAGAACTTAACTACATTGGGAACTGCAACTTGCCATTAATACAAATGTCTTCCTTCCAGGCATGTCAACAGGAGTTTTGCAATGGGCTGTTGGTGTGCTATGGTCCTAGCAATGTACTTTATCATTATTCATATATGAATACGACCCAAAGCATGCTTTGGGAAACAAATAACTAACTGGCTAAATCACATTCAGATCAATGTCATGTCTTTTAAATAGCACCTTTCGTCCTAAATAATCATTGAGTACTTCTACACTATAAGCACAGTGCACGATGCCCAGTTAAAATACTATGAGGGTGAATACAAAGGCAAACATAAAGTAGGCAGCATTCTGCTTAGCCACAAAACAACAAGAAGCTGGTTGACCCTAGGACACTTGGTAGGCTCACACACACCCTCCAAAAATGTTAATGTACTGGCCCCTGGCTCTTCCTTGTATCTATGGGTTCCTCTGTGCTAGAAAGGTTTGACACTAGGAGATCTCAGCTCAAAGAATTAAAGCACCATGCTAAAAGTGAGAAGTGCACACAATGTGCAGTTTTTCCTTCTTTTTCCCCTACCACTAGTTATTATATTATAGTGTTATCTCTAGTTTTGCACTATTCAGCATCTAGCCAACACCAGTAGCTGCCTGAGAGTGAACTTATTAAGCCACCCATCAAACCTCCAGGCCATCCTTCATTTACCAGCTCACTCGCCTGCTTCGCTGACTTCTTAGGAAGAATTTTAGAAGTAGCAGGCAGCTGCTACAACTAGTCAGAAGTTTCTGAAACAGCTCAGGCTTGAACAAACAGAAGATACTATAGGAGCAAAGATAGGTAGGGTGTGTGTGTGTGTGTGTGTGTGTGTGTGTGTGTGTGTGTGTGTAATGATGCATTTGCCTTGCCTTGCCTTGCCTTGTGGAGAATAAATTGAGTGGACTGCAGATTGGAGTCCACACAGAATAAAAACATTGAAGTTTATTAGGTCTCTGTATATCAGGTAGGGCTGGGATAAGAAGAGACAACAGTCCTCTTAGCACTGAGATTTAGTTTTGAAGTTTGGCTTGAAAACCCAGCCTTTCTGTTGTTTTAGCCATAGATGAAAAATGTGATCCCAAATTTCATGCCTATTATTCATGTCTGAAATTACCCCTGGCACCGCTCCAAAAACGAACATAAAAGGCCTGCAGGAACAGATCTAAGCACCAACTCCACAACCCACAATGCATAGTCACTCTGAGGCTGGGACTGTGATTAGTTTCTGACTGGGTCTAGCTCACTTGGCAGACAGGCAATCTCACCACTAATCAGAGATGACGTGATCGGCAGCAATGCAAAGAATATAATGTTTGCTTAAAACACAACTTCTTCAGCCCTTTCTCCAAAAGCACAAATGTGTTTCTCTGTACGAATCAGGCATACTTCCATTGGCCACCTTCTAATATCAAAATGCTTCTTCATTCTTAAATAGGTTCTTATATTCTCAAGCAAAGCAATGCAACTCAGCATCCCAATATAAATAACCATGTCTTATTTGTAGCTATCCTATGGTTATAAGCATAAGGCCATGTCTACACTTGCAGCAGCATGTAGGGTATGGATAGCTACATACTGGACTCTGTAACGTCACACAGCAGTGAAAGGAGCTACCAGGGACAAGATAGCCACCTGTTAAATTGTCAACAAGAGCACTGCAGCTGTGAGAGGCACTGCTTGGACATCTAGGTTATTACCCACAGGTGCTGTTGTGGCTGTACACTACTTGGCTAAGCAATGCTGCCCTCTACAATGCCATTATACCCATGTAAGCAGGCTGTTCAGTGTCTGTACTCTACACATGGTTATAGCCTAAGCGGTCAAGATTTTCTGAAGAGCTCACAAGATTTTCTTCAATTTTTAGGCAGCCAAGCTGGAAACACCTGAAAGGGACCAGTTTTCACAAAGTGTTAGGGCCCTGCTCTCTGAAAAATCAGTGGTTGATGCTGGACACCCAAAAACAGAAGCATCTCCTCCTACTCCATCCAACTTCCTCTCCCTCCATCCTTCCCCTCCCCCCCGAAAAAAACCCAGACTCGAAAAATTTAGCTATTGTCATAGCTAAAACTTGATGGAATATCATGAACTTTAAAGGGAGGTACTGAGTCTATATGAGGCTTAGATCAATGTTTGAGACACAGTGGAAAAGCTTCATACTGAGACCATTTGCTATATGAGGCACAGAAATGCTAGTTCTAGCGCTTTACCCTAAATCTAGTACGGCTGCTCTTTCACAAGCTCTGCCTTTTTCAACTTAGGAGTTGATTCCCCTTTCATAGCATGTAGAAAGCTGAGGTGTGCACCGTCACACGTGCCACCAATATAAAAGTGAAAGAGGGCAGCTCACAGAAGTCTAGTAGTATTGCCAGGGGCAGCCATAGACTATATTGGAAAGTTTCTGATGGCATGTTTTTCCCAATGGAAAATTCAGATTTGTCAATAGCAAAATATTTTGCAGAAATGTGGCAATTTCAACGAAAGTTTTGTTTCAAAGGAAAACTAAAAAAGGAGCAGGGATTGGATCAGATCAGAATGGAACAATTATATTTTTCTTTTGGAAAAAGAAATTGACATTGTGGAAATCCCTAAGGCATGAAAAATCCAGTTCTTGCCATCTACAATGGCAGGCAATATTATGGTAATTCTCTTTCCATTTGGTACTGTATGAAACCAACCATTTCTAGTCTATTACTATACTGGGAGTTGCTGTTTTTCTGAAGGTGCTGCATCATGCATAGACAATTACAGTCCATGACATTTACTCAGTTTCAATAACTCAATGTGTTTGTTGTATGAGGAAAACAGGTAAGATAATTTGTCATCTTAAAAACATGGGGCCAGATACCTGTCAGTCACATTTACTTTAGCAAAAATCGGAAGTAAATTTGTTTATTTATCTGACTGGCATACCTGAGATCAGAATCTAGCCTGTGGCTCTTAACTTATTAGCCATGTGCACTTAATCCTGCGTCAGTAAAATATTCAGGTTTCACAGGCAATAATGATTCTGGAATTTTCTAATTTTTTTTAGTAGTTGACATTGCATTTTTCATATTTTAATGTATTTTAAGGTAATAGCCTATGTTTTAACAAAACCTGAGCAAATACCATGTGGTATCAAATTGACTTCCTATGTTCATCAGCAGAGTTGGAAAAAGATGTACCACATCCATCTCTGTCACTTGAGCTCATATAGGAACTGATAGATATAATAGGTTGTCATCCTTTATCTGGACCAGCACTACAGGCAAATGGGACACACAATTTGGCAGTGAAATTCACAAATATTTTCTTTCAACTAAGGAAGGGTAAGACTGAGAAAACTTCACTCCAGTTGCACATTCTGGCATGGGGTGTTCTCTAATGTTCTCTGCCTGTTTTTTCCAAGTTTGGTCCCTTCTGCTTCATCCACTTCAACTTGTCCCTGTCCTGCTTCTTCCCTGCCTTGACACCTTGACCCAGCCCTATTCTCCTTGTCTAACTAGTCCCAGTCTCCACTCCTTAGACTTCTCATCCCAGTCTCCTTGCACAGTCAATCCTAATTTCCCCATCTGAGTTCCAATCTTTGTGTTAGGATTTGTAAGGGTTAAATAAGGGGTCTTGGTAGTTGCAACCATGGCAATGGGGCATAGCCCAGGTAGACACTGCTTCTATTGATTTATAGACTTGTTTTGATTCCTCCTTTCCTGCTTGCTCAGGATAGATGCAATGTTTATTGAATGCTCTATGTGTTAACAATGCCATCTTCCTTACCCCATTATCCGTTCTCATTTGCTCTGAAGTCTACAGTCAGGGTCACATCTCCTTTCTCCCTTGTAAGTTGCTGATTTAGGGAGTTTTGTGATGTGAGAACTGCTTGCATCAACTAAAAAAGCTGTAAATAGTAAACAGGGGCAGGTATAATTATATTTATCACATGGTTATGATTATGCATTATATGGATGCTCACATTACTAAATTAGGGTTTAAAGAGTGATATAATTGATAAGTTTATTTACATACTAACTAAGATAAAAAGATGCACCTGTGGTTAATTTGTTGCTCACTCGGCTCCCAAGGTGGGGGAGGTTCAGGATGGAATGAGTATCTGCAATGAAAGTGCCCTTCTACTCCATCCGCCTCTGGGTAACCTGTTCTTTTTTTAAACACTTTCCCCTGTCCCAGTCTCCATGTCCAGGCAGTTCCAATCTTTCCTTTGCTCCCAGTCCCCTAGGCCCAGCCTCCCTTCCTGGTTTCCTTTCCTCCCCTCCTGCCACTAATTTCCCACCACAGTTTCTCTCTTGCCCCACACCAGTCTTATAATCACCAGAACCTTCTTTTATAATACATAGGAACCATGGGGCGATAATACATGCCCAGTGAGTGTGGAATCTTTAAAAAATCTTTTTGCACATGCTCAGAGATGTTTTACAGTTTAGTAACTAATATTTTCAATGGAGTTATAAATTGACAAGTGTGCTCTCACAGGAAAAACAAAAGGCATATCCCTGGCACAAGGATCACC